TTCGACCCGACCTCGAGAGGTCGAAACATGTAGTGTAATAATAATAAAAATATGTTGTGTGGTCGGTAAAATTGACTCTAATATTGATTACCGAAGTTATGAAACTGGAAGGCCGATGGAACTGAAGCAGGACATGTAATGTATGTTCAGTAATGGTAGCTGCGTCGAGATGTTGTGTAACTGAAGAGATAAATAAACAGGCCAGCAGGACAGAAGGAAGAGGTTATTAATAAAACACAAAAAAAGACGACTTTTCAGTAGAGACTAGGCGCATAATGCGAGCTTCATAGTGATTTAAGATTTTATTTTCAAATTAATTACATTAAATATATGAATAAAATTACGGAAACACATAGAGACTTTTTGAAACCGCGTGTGTAATCTGAGACATGACTAGATTATCGGTATTTGCGAGTATCTCAAGACCTGTCAAATTGTTTAGTTAATTAAATTTAAAAGCATTTCAACAGAAGTTTTCGAATAATGGATGTAAATAAATTTCAAGCTAGGTTCTTGAGAATGATACTTTTTCATTTATATATTTAATTATACTGAATTATGTTTTTTCTTTTTACTTTTTATTACCTTTCCTTGGGTTTTGTGTTAATTGTCAGTTTGAATACTGCTAATTTTTGTTGCTTTGTTTTCTTCCTCTTCTGTTACTTGTAATACATGTAATTCCCGATTAAAGAATTATTATGAATTAACCGAGGATGAATAAGCAATATAAAGCGTTAAAATATACGAACTACATCAGCTTTGTACATTCTTTATATATAAATTCCCTTTGTTAAAATGAAAAGAAAAGGAAGAATATCGAGGAGGGAATAAAAACCTTTTGATACTGTAACGAGTGTAAGACCAGCACAAAACACACATTTATACGTATTGTTCAACAATGTTGTTTGATTATTCTTTAATAAGGTGCAGTATAGGAGGAACCTTGAGTCACGAGAAGCTGACACCTAAATAAAACATAGATATTCTGATAGAGAAAATGCAGTACTTCATGAAACTTCAGGATACCTGATGTGTTCCCTTTACTTGACGGCATTAACTGCGCAACTAGTCTGCTATCAACAGACTAACTCTTCCAAGTTATGGACTATCATTGAGCTATTACTACTCATACTTCCTAAGTAAATCACGAAATTCTCTACAATCGAATGGCTTATCGCCTTGTTCATAACAGGCTTTGGATAATAACATGAGACATATCAATCCTGTTCACATTCTCACGGCTTGCTTCTAACATTGCATTTTGTCTCTTAAAGTATTTCTCTTTTTTTCGTCTATAATGCAGCAAATTAATAATATTAATTCGCATTTAATTCGTACAATGATCGTCAGATGTACAAAACGTTATTTAAATTATTTTAAAATATTTAAATATGTGTACACATTATGCTGCTACATGTTTCGGTCTTACTAGACCATCTTCAGGCAACGCTTATATAAGGATTCCAATTCACTGTACGCTAATTAGAATCCTTAAATAAGCGTTGCCTGAAAATGGTCTTGTAAGACTGAAATATGTGTATATATATTTTAATATTTTAATAATTTTAATAACATTTTATACATTTTACGATGATTGTATGAAATAAATGTGAATTAATGTTATTAATAATTTATTGCATTATGGGCGGAAAAAGGAAAACGCTGTAAAAGGTACATCAATGCAACAGGATGCTAAAATATAATATTATTGCATTTTATATTAGTCCCTAATCTACGGCTGGTTACACCAATTCATCTCTTCCGTTGAGGTTTTCCAATCAAATCTTCATTTAACAACTTCTTCATGCAGTTAGATACTGCTCCCATCTAGTCATTCTTAATATAACAATTCAGAAAATGTTAGGCACTTGTGAATATGACAATTAATTCTTGGCTTACATAAAAGGCGTAAGAATTTCTTTGAATAGCTTTGTGACTATTAGATCCTCAGTTAGGGCTCTGATCCATGGAATTAACATGGCAATTAATCACCTGGAGACAGAAGTCAAACTGAAGAGTGCCGCGGAGGTCTATATCGGATATATGTCAGGAAGTTGATAGTCTCGACTCCAACAGACATAGTTAGTTATAGACCAAAAGTATCAGGGTAAATATGTGTAAATGTGTGTCCCTGCTAGGGACGCCACTTCGTCAATTCTTCCAGTATTGGAAAAGTACAAAATACTGAGTTCAAAAAGGTCTTCCAAATGAGCACATTTAATGAGCATGACGGTAGCTGACGACGTTACTGGTATATCCACTTACCGGCAGAATTAATACTACCTGGAATCAGGAAGTGCCAACTCATATCTCACGCAGCACCATTAAGGCTTTATGATACACAGAGAAGATATAAGTGAAAGGGATCATAATGTTAATGAGATGACTTCGAGATATGATAATGTAAATTCATTACATTCGCAGTTATAATAACGGACGGCGTGAGCGTTACTGATGGAACTCCGGCAGCTGATGAAATAAAGAAAGATAACAATCCAATTTTCGCCATTGGAATCAATCGAAACAACTTGGTGCATTTGGAATCCCTTGCATCTACTGGGGACAACGGCATCAGGCATTTCTTCCACGTCCGAACCTACGAAGTGCTCGACTCCATCGGAAAGTACATCAACCGTAAGTAACGCCCTTAAAAGTTTGTGGCATAACTCATAAAGCTAGGAATGAAGTTCTTCCCGAAACATACAGTCAGCCCGTTTGTGAGACATCTCTTTTCTCTGTACAAATGTTTCAACGTTGAAGCAGCAGAAGCAAATATGATTAAATTTTGCGTTAGGTGTTTGTAGTAATGGTTAGCTGGACAATTTAATTTTGGTTCGCTTTCGTCCAACGAAAAAAACCCGAATTTAAATATAGATTTCCTAAAAGGCGCAATTTTGCAAACTAATTGATACATGATATAAAATAAACGCATAGCTCTCCTTAAAACTCAAATCAATAACGCTAAATACAGTCTGTTCTGGAGTAAGTTATATTTAATAAAATTCAACAAAATATATTTTCTGATTCTGCATATCTTGCCTTTAGTAACGCGATATGCTTTGCAATAATACAGTCACCTCTACCTAACTGAACATTAAACTCCATTGTGGAATACGAAATACCCAATCTTGCAATTGGAAAGTAGGTGTACTTCATCGGAATCCACCTTGACCATCTTGTTGAATACATATTTTCTTTGAACGGGTGATGCCCAGTTTCAGAGATCCCAAACTCCCGAAAATCATGAGAGCTCCTAAGCGTGGAATCTATTGGAACATCCCGGACTCACACATTTCCACTGGATTACTGACAGGGTTTCGAAGTCCCTTTTTATGTGATGTTTGCAATCTGCGACACAGTAACGAACAGTGACGAAATTCAAGAAGAGAACTGAGGTTTAGAAATATCTCGTACACAATATTACTTACGTGTATTGACTAAGTTCACTCAAAAGTATGCTGTGGGCCCGCATTTTAAGACTTCATTTCAGTTTCTAGTACATATTCCATAAAGATCGGTTGGATTCAGGTGATACTGCATATCTACCATTAAGTACCTCCTGCTCATAGAGTGATTAGCCTGTCATTAGAACGTTAATGTTGTCTGCATGAAAATTACATGTCTCTCAGAGTAAATCTTATGTTATTTTCAAAAGCAGAAGTAAACATAAAGCCGTACCTGTGCGAAGATAACATGACATGAATGTGTGTTAACTTGTGGCGCTTAGGCAGTGGATAGCGGGAATAAAGACCGATTCGTTTCTAAGCTCGACGTTCGATATAGGTGACTCTCCAGGTCCACGTTCCTGCCACTTAACCGCCAAGGAAAAATGTCTCAATTCTAATTATATAGGAAGTCTGGCAGTCCTGAGAGCTCATATCGACTTGGTGACGAAAACAAAAGTTTCCATTCTACTGTCGGAATTGAATTCGAGCCTTCCTGCACACTTCTTCCCCTTACGGACTGAACAGCTGTGCCTCGCTGGAATTCTAAAATCCAAGAGAAACTGCTTGCCGCTTCTTTTGTTACTGTCACTAAAAGAACAGCGGAGAACGTGTCTGACACGGAGATGCATTCGGGCGCAAGTTGATCAACACAATTTTGTGTAGACCATTATTCGCACTGTACAAAACTTTGCCGAATAATTTTGCTTAAGTGTAACATAGAGTATATAAGTATGTAAAGAATTCCTTCCCTTATGGAAGCTTAAACAATACTAATCTTATGTCAGTTGTAGTCAGACCGAAGCCGGCGTAGCTCAGTCGGTATAGCGACCGTCTACAGGCTGGTTGGCTTCTGTTCGATTCGTGGTAGGAGCAAGAGATTTTGCTCAATTCCACAGCGCCCAGACCGGCTCTGGGGCCCACCCAGCCTCTTATATAATATATTCTGGGGGGTTTACCTTTGGGTTAAAAGGGCCGGGGCGTCAATCTGATCACTCACCTCCATCTAATGCTGAGGCCAAGAATTATGAAGCTATACATCCACGCTCCATACTTCTTCATGGATTGGTGCTTAATTAATTAAACAAAGAGTCAACGTTACCTTTTTCTTAATCAGATCTTCTCGGAACTTTAATTCAACCCACAGAAAGGAGCGAAAAATAAAGTAGGACAACTGTAAACAGAGGCTCAAACAGGCAAAAGCATAAATATTTTAAAGGTTATTTAATCGGTTTAATCCAGTCTGTAGGACAGAACATTTATTGATTTCAGAAAGAAGAGGTCTAAACTGGAGGATTGTAACAACATGCAATAAAGATTGTTTTTTATTTCAGCTCCTGCTGGATCCGGGGGCTCTAACAACAGCACGCAGTGCAAAAATAAGTAAACAACATATAACCTGGCAAAGGAGTCATTCGATATATTTCTCGGCACATTTAAGAATGAATTTTAAGTTCAACTTTCCAAAGTTTTCGCCTAGGGAAGATTTTTCGGTTATCTGAAACATAAATATAAAGAAAGATAAATGCTTCTTTAAAATGAAGGTCTTGAAATAATTTTATACTCAGATAAAGAGCAGTCAAGTAGGTAACACCCGTGAAAAATATTCGTGTGTCCTCGTCTTAAAATCTCGACCCGATAGTCAGCTATTCTGTGGTAGGATTTTCATTATTTGCCTCAGTCCTTCCAGGTAACATGATAATTATTCAAATTATAATACAGTCTCTTCCATTCGTATCCTTTCCAATTAATTATTTATTCATCATCCAAACAATTGAAGTTCTGTAGCCTGATCTATTGGCAGCATAATTAAATAAGCAATCAATAGATTCAAATATGACCTCAGCTGCATGTGTTAATTCTGAATGCTAGGATGGTTATGTGATTAAGTGGCAAGGTTGCGGAAGTCACCAAACACTGTCAGGAGGGGCTGTCAAAACCGTAAAAACAGGTGAAATATCAGGCACCCAAACAAATAATCTGATCCTGGAGCACTAGAATACGAAACAGAGCTCTAAGTGAAAAGTGCAGTTTCCAGAATATCTTTAGGTAATTTTTCTTTTACTCTTAACATTCATCTAGTTAGAAATGCATGAAACAAACATGCGAGTTTCTCTCAAGCAATTGTGCTCGCGTCTAACTGGTAGAATCGAATGAATGTTTCAGCTAAAATATTTTGTTACAGATCCGTAACCCTTGAGGCCTATTGGATTTATGGAACGGGTACAGATCTAGTGGTAATTGTATACTTCTGTAATATAATCAACAATGTGTAGTATATATTTTGTATACACTATTAATGCCAATATGTATTTTATTAATTGAATATCACTAATAAAATATCAGATTTTCTTTTACAAGCATTTATCAATAAATGATTTGTAATATATTTTCTACGCATATTGTTATAATGTACGTTGCTGGGATCTAAATGTGGGACCACAAGCAGTTGTGTTGTTATTACTTGTGGTAGAGAACTGCAAGCTGAGTTGCATCATCGCAATGACTACAATTGGCAAGACCTTGATACCGAATTTAATGAAAATGTAGTAGTTAATTCACTGATTGCAAAGAGGGAGGTAAAGGCGACGAGACATAAACAAGGTTCGAGAAGCTTCCTTATATATAATTTAGTTAAGAAATACTAACCGAATGCGAAGAAGTAATCTGACAAAAGGCTCTTGTTAGTTATAGTGATTGTTTCAAATTATACACTTCGGTTTGTAAGATTCTTGTTCCAATCTGGATGATATGTCTATTACTTTGATGGACTGGTTGACTGACGGAATGGTGCTGGAATCCTGATAGAGGCAAAGACTCGTCTCTTCACTACCATGTTCAGGCCGGCTCTACAACTCACCCAACATTCTGTGCGCAAATAAAGGGTCTCCTTCCCCAGAGATAAAGCGGCAGTAGAATGAAAGTGATTAACAAACCTGCACCTAATCCCGAATTTAAGATTATGCGTACAGTTTTCTCCACTCTTCATGCTTACCCTCACGGTATGATGTAAAGGCATATTTGTTTCCTTGCCAAATAAAACATAGCAAGAAGAATTTGTATACTCTTGTGGAGATATAACTCCACTTCGGCACGAGATACAGGCGAGTGGTCATCTTCGCATACTAAAAAAAATAAAGGTATCCCTGTAACAGGCCGTGGAGGCCCATAGGATTGTGAAACGTTGAGGTTCCCACATTTTCTATACAATCGGCTTATAGATGGCGGTGAGGTTGTCAGCCTTACGCGCCGGCAGCCCTTTACCCCCAAGAATATTCCAATTTCATTTCTGTTAGAGGTTGAGTCGACCCCAGGGCCATAGTGCGGCAGGAAGGATGAGGTCAATTGAAGAAATCGAATGACATCATCGGGACTTGAACCCGCGACCTTCCGGCTTGTAACATAGTGCCTCAACCAACTACGCTACCGCGTGCCCCCATCTTCACGTACTGGTCTCTTTATTTCCAGCGAATAGCCCTCTGCGCCAGATGGCTAAAAGGCTGTATGAGCCCCCCTCATATTCGATCTGGACACTGTGTAGAACAATAATTTCTAACCGCAGTTGGGAATCGAATTCGATCGACCAACTCGAAACGAGGAAAGTAAGCTAAAAATTAGGGCGAATAATGCAACAATAATAAAACAAACTCCGTGGTTTTAGTCCGCAAGCGAACTGTACCGACCGTGCGACAGCCGCTTGTCGGCGAAGTTAGTACCAACTTTAGCGGATAGAGGGTGTAGCGTGGTCAGCGCAACGAATCCCCACGGCCGTTAATCTCAGTTTTCTTGACCGAGTCGCTATTTCCTTGATATAGCTCCTCAGTTATCTTCAAGGGGTTGAGTGGACCTCGTTCCAGACCCACTACTTCTCATAAAATCTGGTAGCGCCGAAAATCTAACCCAGACTTTCAGCAATTTTGAACACGAAAGCATTTCTTAGTGGCTGAAATGGAAGTATGTAGTGCTTAGTTTAAGTCTGACGTATGCAGACCTATGAAGTTCATAAATGCACCTGCTCCTTCTAAGATCCTTATTACCGAATCTCGTTGGGCCCTTCCACCATCCGCAATTTAAAACACGGATCTGAGTACCATTGACATTAATTCATCATTGTAACCACTATAGATCATTCAGCCTTGGTTGGATTAGTCGGTCATTTCAAAATGTTGTATAAATTTCTGACGCTTAGTGACCCAGAATGAGAAGCCGTGAGATAAGTGGAAATATGGATCCAAAGAAGAAGTGGTAGAAGTCTAGTACCAGGCATATTAATTCCAAAGTTGTGTGCAGAGCAACAAGAGACACATTTAGAAATTATTTGTACATCATATCATATAACGTCACATTTATACTTTTGTTTGCTGCCATTCCTCTGAAAGAAATACAGTTATAAAAGCCAAAGCGCTAGAAGTTATAACCGGTTATGACACATCCTCTTTAGCAGCGATTCTCTCATTGGGAAAGTTATACACTGCTGCTTTTTGAACTCTCCTGCCATCTTGTGTTGGTATAGAGAAAATGACCGGAAATTGTCGACTGTCAGCCGAATTCTTCCGATTGAACGTCAAGGCGGAATATGCATGGCGCACATGTTGCAGTGGTACTGTCGAAAAGTGAAATATTTGCTATAATAGTGTTATTTGTGGTGAAAGTGATAAAACACAAAAGTGACAAGATGAAGAACTGTAAAAATTTTCGTGTGTTATAGTCTGTACGTTTTGAAGACATTGTTAAAGTGCGGGAAAACAGTGGGACATAAACTTGATCTAGGAACATGGATCATGTTGCGTTTTCTTGCTTCGGCCGTAGACCCATTCAGGCTGCTTGTACAGGTAATGTAAAATCTAAGTACACAACTTATTGCATTAAAAAAGAAAAGGGACATACACCAACAGTATGAAGAACAGCAGTTCTTCGGTATTTAACGGTCGCTCACAACATCAGAAGCCTGGATGTTGACAGGTCGCAGCATGACCCTGTTTCGAGCCCTTCGAATCCACTCCACACCATCACGCATTATTTTCTTTACCACCATTCGTTTGTAATTCATTTAACCGTTACTCTTTCATCAGTGCCTCGGTAGTACTACAAGAACTTCTGACAAGAATTTTTGTATGAATTTCTCATCATCCAAATACTTGTTGCATGTCCAGCTTATCCCATTCTACTTGATATGTTCAACCTAATAATGTTTGATAAATTACGAAGCTTCTCCTTATGTACACTCTTCCGTCTTCCTGTGAATTCTTTCCTCAAATGTCCGAATAGAGTCTGCCCTCGATCCATAATTTTTCCTAAGACCGAAAGGCCAAGCTTTCCACCCATATACAAAAAATAGTTCAAATTATGAGTTTTTACCTTTCATCTCGAAGTTCAAGAGATAAAATAAAAGGTAAAATTTTTCCAACTGAATGAAAGTGAATAATTACTTTTATACGAATCTCTATCTAAAGAAGGCTGTGTTTTTCTGCAAAGTATTTATGGTTCCTGACCAGCCGCAAGGGTAGATTTTACTAGAAGTAAAGAAGTAAAGACTACCGTATCTTTCTCGTCACTATTTTGTTAATTTAGCAGCCATGTATTGTCATTGCAATGTTCGCAACGTCAGATATTGAGGACCTTCTCATAAATACAAGTATTTCTTTGGATAATTGCACCACCTGCTGGTATTTTTTCTTCTGTAGCTGAGGGTATGGGAAGAGAGGGACAGAGAAGAGGAAAGTTTTACTTTTATTTTGAAAATCTGGGTTACGTGTTAATCTGTTCAGAACATAAGCACTAGGACCTTAATGCAAAACGTGTTCCTAACATTTAAAATCGTACGGTAGGCTAAATCTGGCAAAAAAAAAAAAAGAGAGAAAGATATCCCCGCAACAGGTCGTGAAGTCCCATAGGGTTTTGAGACATCAGGCTGTCACATTTTCTGCGGGCAGTTGTCTCATAGATGGCGGTAAAGTTGCCACGCTTACGCGCCGGCCACCCTTTACTCCCCAGGAAGATTCCTGGTGCTCATTTCTGTTAGAGGCTGACTCGACCCCAGGGCCATAGTGCGGATGGAAGGAATAAGTTAATAGAAAAAAAATCCACCTCATCGGCTTGTAGTGCCTCAACTAACTACGGTACCATGTGCCCCTCGTCCAAATTTGGGCAGTGTGAAATTACAAATACCTTTCTTTTGAACGGCTATAATAATACGCTAGAATCCCCTTTTGAAAGAGAGACGTAGAATCAGAAACGGGGTACCTATTTAATAAAGAGTTCTCCGCAAGGCACGGAATTAGCATTGTTACTCAAGGTTCAATCGCCAATTCAATCTAGCTATAAAAATCATCTGAAATCAGAAGTAATTTCTGTAGGTTCAGGCTGTAGCCTCTTTTGACCTGTATTCGAGGAGTGTCTCATTCTCGTCTCTGTCGGAACACCCACCGTTGTGACTGGGGGTTTTCCGTTGATTTCTTAGACCCTACTCTTAAATTCCAGAATACTAATTAGTATATCACCGTTTGTGTACAGGTAGAGGCCTTGTGACGAGCTGATCACCCGCCGAAGGAGTCCTACCGTCTGTAAAATGATCATGTAACTGATATTATGATAGTTTCCTGGAATAAAACTCATTTGCCTCGTCTTTATTTCAACGTATATGGCGGTTGCCTCACCACTGCCGTCTCATTCCCTTCGTAGCACTTACAGAATATTAAATTGTAGATGCATTCGAAAATTGCTTGAAGTCATGGTGACTCTCACACCGTTATGTAATTGTGAAAATTACGTTAAAGGGAATATACGGTATGGTAATAAATTTCTGGCGCTTAAATGAACTTCTTAAGAATCGGCAGGATGCACAGAACTGTATAGGATGCTTCGTAAAAGTGTAAGATATTAATTTCAAATCCTCACTTGAACAGAAGAAATAAAACTTACCACGGATTCTGTCTTTCAAAAAATATATATGCCCACTCACTCAACATATTTTTTCTTCTCTGGAAACTGAGATATGTATCAT